CTGCTGAAGAAATGTCTTTGTGCTTTTAGGTGACGTGTTAAGTCCTTTTGAGTGGAGGATTGAGCAGGATTTTAGGCTTCCCCTGAGGGGCTGCACAAGTCCACCAGACTTCTCAATCCTCCATTTAAACCCTTGTAATGCACATCAGATTTCACTGAGGGCCTCATTACAGAAGGAGATTTGCACTAGGTATGAAATAAGTGTTCAGGCTTTACTGTCTTGTTTTATTTAGGCCCGGTTGCTGTGCTGGCTCTACATCATTAGAAAAATATGTAACCTCCAACGAGTTCCCAGATGATACTCTGAACTTCATCAAAACACATCCACTGATGGACGAGGCTGTACCTTCCCTTGTCAATCGACCCTGGTTCCTGAGAACGATGGTCAGGTACGTACCTCCAAGTGGACTCTTGTCCTCATCGTAGCTGTCAAGTTGTGCAGATAGTCTTGCTTCAGAATACGCTCAAAGTCTGTAAACATCCTCGATGTGCTGGGCATGAATCCAGCTAGGAATGATGGCAGTGCTGAGCAGATGCTGCAGAACTCCCTGAGCAGCTTTCAGGATAGGAAAAAAACCTCCGTCCTTTCCAACCATGCTGTGCTGAAATGGGATCTTGGAGGAAATGCTGTGCCGGGAAGGCTGACCCGCCTGTTGGCTTATGGGTCAGTGCTTGAGACAGCTCTGTAGAGAACTTTGGGCAAGGATCAGCAGACAGCCCAGGGATATGTACACAGGATACAAACATGCCTGCCAGGATATGTTCACAGGATGTGAAGATGTCTGTCGGGATATGTACTGGTATGTTTTAATGTTTACAGAAGTGTACAGGCAGAAGTAATCACATAATCTGTATCCTTTCTATGGCAACAAGAGAAAAATAATAATGAAGAGATTTGAACAAAGACTCATCAATCAGCAAGCCTCAAATACACCATCCCCTTCCTTATCAAAACACGTTCCCATTCTCTGCTGTGGCCACTATACTATTTATCTACCCTCCAGTTGTGAACAGAATAATGTGACTAACTTTGCCATATTTTCCTCTCTCCCTCTGAGGAAGGGTAGAATCTTGTGCCAGGCAGCGTTTAGCTCTGGAAAGGTCTGACTTAGTTCTAGTAATGTATCTTCTGTCAGGTTTTTACGCCAGGTTCTGTACCTCCAACCAAAGACAAGAGCAGCCAGCTCTGCAGAGCACTTCCCTTTGATCACCAGTACCAGATAACTGGTGCCAAATCACCAGTACTTGTTTTCAATAAATTCTGTTATCCCAAGATTCGATATTGTCTCAGCACTGAACTCGCTTAGTGGCAGTTGTGTGATTATTTTTAGTGAGGTAAAATGATGTTTAGCATCTCACTATCACACTCGCACAGCTTTTCCTGCCAAAAGAGTTGAATGTAGATCAGTTCTCATTATTGCTGCTTTTAATGTGGCAGAGCTTGAAATTAATCAAAAATTTCACTGTGCCGGTTTTCTTTCCCTGCCTGAAGAAGTCACCAGACTAGTACTTTGCATTTTATTGGAAGAATAATTGCTAAATGGCCTCAGACTCTTATACGCCTTCAGCTTTATGCAAACACTTGTGCTAGCTATTGGCTATATGGACCTGCAGACAAACGAAATTTCCCCACCATTTAAGAAGCCACACTGGTCCAGTCTATGTTGACTTAAAGGTTTATTCAGCTAGGAGAAGTGCTTAAATATGCGATATGGTTGTTAGAAGGCTACCCTGCAGTTATCTGAAGTGGAAAAAGTGATAAAATAAATGGCAATCGAGTCCCAAGTGATCCAAAATGCTGTATTGTTATTCTAGATACCGCCTGACCAAAATTGCTGTGGACTCTGCTGCTGGGCCGTTTCAGAACTACACCGTGGTTTTCTTGGGATCAGAGAAGGGAATCATCCTGAAGTTCTTGGCACGGACAGGAAACAGTGGTTTCCTAAATGATAGCCTTTTCCTGGAGGAGATGAACGTTTACAATCCTGAAAAGTGTGTATCTGATTCTTTGTACTCATGTATGGGTGACTTTGAACTTCCAATTTCCCAGAGAGTAGGTTGTCCCACGAAAAGGGAAGTCATTAGAGAAGCCAAGTTTTGTGAGTGATTTTAAATTGTTTGGGGAGGGGATGTCTGCTTATCAGTCTCTACATTGCAGTAAGATATTTTTTATTCAGTATGTGTAGAAAATAGCCCATCCTATGCAGCAGTTGATGGATAATTAAAAGTGAAATTGTGCAAAGGAAGATTAATTTTCTAATCCTATAAAAAACCTGATTCCTCTCCAAATAATTCAACAACGAGCAGGCTGCTCTCCAAGGGAAATTTCCTGCATTTCAGCCTTTCTCAAATATGCCTAAGGGGGCTTTGAAGTGGGCCGTAATCATGAAGAAATTTCAGCTACTTTGAGTGCTGAAGTAGAATAAACACAAAAGGTGAAGGGCCCTCAGAAAGCTTGTCTGGTGTGCCATCTCTCTCCACTTCTTATTCCCCTGTCCCATGCATTTTTAATACTCACTTGTATGTCTGTCAGTGTTTTTAGTGGCTATTGTGTGTTCTTTTTCCATGGCTTGTTCAATTCAACCGTTCTCAGAGTTTTTTTGTGGGAGTTTTTTGGGGGGTTTTTTTCGGCTTGAGGAATCATTACGTTTTCATCTAGTTTCCCAGCAGAACTCATCTATAACCTTATCTCACATTTTTTCAAACCAGGTGCAGCTACGATGGCGTGGAGGACAAGCGGATAGTGGGCATGCAGCTTGACAAGCCCAGCAGCGCCCTGTACGTCGCCTTCTCCACCTGTGTCATCAAGGTTCCCCTTGGACGTTGCGAACGTCACGGCAAATGCAAAAAGTACGTGTTTTCTGATGGCTGTCAGAAGCCCGTACGCCAGGCACGGGGAAGGCGGGAGCACTCATGAATGCCATCTTGTGCTCTTCTTTCTCAAGGGCCTGCATTGCATCCAGAGACCCCTACTGTGGATGGGTGAAGGAGAGCGGGGCATGCATGCAGCTGGTCCTTGGCTCCAAGTGAGTAAGGGCTCTGGCTGGATGGGCCGTGAAGCTCTGGCGGTGGCGCCGGGCAGTCTTGGGCAGAGCTATGTGAAACACGGGGCTCTTAGGGAAGGAAAAATGTGGGAAGTGTTTGTATCTACCTTATTTGCATTCACCTCTGAAATGTCTCACAAATTTTTTTGATGTGAACTCTCAGCTGATTGGTAACTGCTGAAAGAGGAGGAAGAAGAAAATGAAAGAGCTGTACTAAGGTCCTCGTGTTGTTGAAAGGAGGGAACTGGATGGGTATGTCTGGACCAGCCCACACTGGAGCCATCACAGCTGATTAAAGAGGCAATAGAATCCAAATTAAATTACTGAAGCAATTTGTCCACTGAAAACAAAACCAGTTCTTCTAATTTACTGTGCATTACTAGGAGGAATCAGAGAGCACAATAAGAGCTTGAAGCAGATTCAGAGAAGTGCTGGATCTCCCCTTGCTTAACAGTAGAATTTAATTATTTACAATAATGAAGGTCTGTGAAGGTTTGTTTAAATGTGGTTACTAAAGCCTCCTTGCAGGGAACAGACCTGCTTCAGACCTCTCATTTCTTGGCCACGTCTACACAGCTCACGCCTGCCTGCTCTGAGGTGCAGGTATGCTTCCTCAAGGTAGCGGTGTAAGCGTAGCACAAACATCACACAACCCCGATAGGCACACTAACCCTGCTTATGTATAGGTCTTCAGTATATAGTGGGAGAGTTACCATCCCTGTGCTTGTGTCGTGTTCTTAATTTGTTGTTTCAATTCAAATTGTTTGTCCACTGGGGATGATGCTATAGGTATATCTGTCTGTATATGCTTTACTACAAGAGTGTGAACTATTCCTGACTGGACATTTGGTAGAATAATATTAAAATGCACTTGTGTCCATATTGGGTTTTCTCACCATTCCCAAGGTGCTTCACCCTTTTTGCACTTCCGTGGCAAGCTGTAGGGGACTGCTGTACCTTACTTGTAAAAGCAGCTCCTGTGTTTATCAATAGATCCATCGAGACAGAGGCAGCGCAGCTGGTGGTGCAGGTCAGAGGCGAGCAAGACAGGTCACTCTGTGTCCTTTGCGTAGCCCTTTGGAAAGGGGTCCAGATGGGCTGTGAAGATGTCTGGTGAACTTCTAAGCTAGCCAAGAGAAGGCAGAGATGTTGGGTGCCCTCCTGGAATAGATGACATTTGAGCAGGAGCTTTAAGAACATGGAGCTGGGAATAAGGTGCCTGCAAGGGTAGTTATGTCTCAAGGGCAGGTTCCTAACTAATGTAGACAAGGCCTTCTGTTGGTAGTTATCCAAGGCTCTTGTCATTCACCTTTGAACATACAGTAACTTGGAAGAACAGCTTCACTAGTTATTCAAAATCACAGGCAGAGGTTAGGAGCATAACCTGGGCATGCCAGCTAGAAAAGCCTGTGAGGTTTTTTTCAGTAGAACGCCTTGAGTTCAGTGGAATGCCTTCTGTGGACTAGACCTTACGCCTTGCAGCCTCATCCAGCACAGTGCATACATGATTGGTGAAATGCAAGTTGTCGTTCCCCAGCACAGTACCTACCCAATGGGTTAGCTTCCTTCTCATGTCAAAATATTGGTGCAGCTTGTCTGCTGTGTGGACAAGTTAAGGTAGGATCATTGCTCCTAATAATAATGTCACATATTATAGAGGTAACAGTTTAAAGAATACGAATTTTTTTGCCTCCCTTGACAATGAGGCATGCAGTGGATTTTAAAAAAGTGATAATAAAAAGACAATGTATCATCAGAGGCCAAGAAATCAGAAGCCATTAAGCAATGACAAATAACTTGTATGTCTGTGTTGCAATTTTTCAGCCTTTGTGTGGAAGTTCCAAAGAAAGAGCCAGTTTCATGGCAGGGCTTTATTTCAGTTGCACATGTGATGATTTCTTTCTGTTAGTGCCTGTGACTGTTGTTATTCATACTGTTTTGTTTCTTTCTGTTATTTAGACTGGCATTTGAACAGGACATAGATCATGGCAATACAGATGGCCTGGGTGACTGCCAAAGTAAGCAAAGCTTTTACCCTCTATTTACCGTGTGTCACAGCATCCTTCTGAATGCCTCAAATCACCATTACCTGCTGGGCATTCTTTTGTAGCAATGTAAGCCACAAGAGGGACAGCAACTGTGGCTAGCGATGCAGGTTCAGAAGAGGAACGGTTTAAATGTATTTAAAGAAAATAGCCCAGTTGGTGTGATCTATACAAACACTGGACTTCAAAGCAGTTATGTACTGAGAAAACCTCAGTTCCAGAGGATATTGATTATACCAATGACATAATGAATTGGGTGTTCGTTGTCTTCGTTGGCCATGGAGGTTGAGTTTATGTAGATGTACAGAAGCGGTTTCTTGGTGTAGACTGTGTAGTGAACTACATTCCTATGCAGGACAGGGAGACAGTGAAATATATCAGTTTTGGATCCAGATCAAGAGGTGGGAACTACTTAGTTTGTGAATCTTAGTGGATTTTACACACAGGTTGGACATCATAGTGGTATTAAGGATCAGGCAATACTGAGCCTGGCTAGGAAATTTTAACGGTAAACCATAGGTACTGACAGCAGGAGTTGTAAGCTTAAACACAATCTTTAAACATTTATGTTTTGCACTGAGGTGCTTAAAAGTGTACAGCTTGCACTGCATGCAAAGAAACCTTGCATGCTGATTTCTGAGCCTTCAGGAATACCAACATCTGCGTTCAGGACAGCTCTCATTCCAAGTGTTCTTGCCAAGGTTGGTTTAATTCTGAGCCCCAAATATTATTTATAAACCTTATGAAATCAAGAATCACATTCTTTTCAGTGCAATTTGCACGGATGCCTGTAGATGCAATAAAACTGCTGAAGCTGAGGAAGTAATGTACAGTGAGAGAGTCATTACTTCTGGAATACAGAGCAAAATAACGGAGGGCTAGATTGTGCCATGGGATACAGTGCAGGCCAGCTGCTCTCAAGAAAGCCAGAGCCTTCTCACGCCTTGTGCATCCTTGTTCAGGAATCATTTATTACTGTGATCACTGTGCTTGAGGGAGTACAAGGATCTCAGCCTCTGCATGCTCTCCATCTCAGCTGCACCTCCCTCTGCTTCTGCCCTAAGATAGGGTTACGTAGGCTGTCTCGTAAGTTTTTTGAAGGAGGTGTACACATAGTCCCTCCTGTGCTCCCTGTAAAATGGGTTAGCACCAATTCAGGTCACTTCCCAGCTGGTGCAACGTTGCCCTTTCCAGCCAGTTCTGCTCTCCATGAGCAAATAGGTTAAACAGGAGCGGAGTGTACCTGATACCAGTTACATATAAATGAAGGGTAGGAAATTATTCAGAAACAGCACGTTGTGCTCATGGAGAGAGATCTGCTCCTGTGCAGAGAGCAACAGAGCCCATGCCCTGTCTAAATCCCTCTTTAGCCCTGAATGATGCACCGAACCTTGACACTGCACAGGGATCGATTCACCTCCCTGCTAACCCATCTGATCTTATTACTTCATGTGGTATTGGGTCATGTGAGTTCTGTCCTCATTGACTCACGTTGCTGGCTGCATCACTTGTAGTGCCTTGCGTTAGATTAGGACTTGATCTTGCAAAGAAAGACATGGCAGGGAGGACACTGGTATCCCTTGGTATCCCCACTTGGTATCCCTTGCACAGGGCTGGTCATGAACACTTTCAAAGCCAGACATTGTTTTCAGGTATGTCTGAATATTAGTTTTGCTTGGGTCCTTAGGGTACTAGTCACATTCATGTAAAGATCAGCTGAAGCGTAGAAGGTTGTTAGCAGCAAACTATTAAAAAGAAAAAGCGAGAGATAAATAATGATTTTTCCCCTGTTATTTGTCTTTCAGATTCCTTCGTAGCCCTGAATGGTAAGGAAGTTCTTAGTTTCATTATTTACTGACAGCAAAACCATTTTGGAGGAATCGCTTTTTACTAAACTTTTAAGTATTTTCATAGTTTTGTTTTATTTAATGTTTCTTCCGAATTTATTTTGTTCATAGACATTTCAACTGCTCCACCTGATCATGAAATGTCTTACAACACACTGTATGGTCAGTTTATGGGTGTTTTTAAAAATTCTTCCCTAACACTAACTCGTGTTAGTCTAGTAGTTTCTGTAGTCAAATAGCCATTACCCCTTTTTTCTTGTTTTGTCATGTTTTTGAGGGCCTAATTCACTAATCACAACTAGGATTAAGTCATGCCTCTTGATTTTCAATCCCTCTTTTCTAGTCCTCCCTCAAAACTGTCTCCCTTGAATTGAAGTCAGATATGGCCTATTTTAATGGCACAACAGCAGACATGATTAAGAGCATGCTTCATCTGAAAGCTCAAACAAAGGAACACTTGGGTACAGTGATGCATCTTATCTGTTCACCAGGAAAAAACAAGATAGCAGCTCACATCCCACTGGTGAGTGGTCCAGGCTGGTGTTGTGAACTGCTACAGCAGCCAGTCAGAGATACCTTAGGGAAAGGAGCAGAACTGTCTCCTTTCTGTAGAAAGATCCCTTATAAGGAAAACTAACCTCTTACCCATGTCAGCTGAGACTGGGTTATGCCTCAGTTCCTGAAAGCTCCTGTCACTTCTAGAGTGAGTCATATACATTGTCCGTACTTACCGTATCTTAATGCCTGAATGGTGCCTGGTCTGTAAAAAAATAAAGGGGTTCACATAGCAAATTAAATGACCTGCACTGAAGAGGGGCATTTCTGCAAGCCTGGAGTAGCAGCTTCCCATGAGGCAGCTGTTAATCTGTGCTTACAGTACTTTCCACCACTTTATTCTGTATATTTAGAAGTGGATTACACTGGTGCTTGGAGTACAGAATAAATGTTTTTGTGAGGAATTATTGCAGAATAAATAATCACTTTAAATTCAAACCTAGACTTAGATTGCAATAGTTTCTCTATAGACGTCCTGAACAAAGACAAATACTCACAAGCTAAGAGGATGTGTGCTACCAGTGAAGTCAAAGGCAAATTTCCATGAGGGGTGGGATCTTGCTTGTGAAGTGGCTTTCAGGCTGTACACGACTAGCAGTTCATCAGAGCTAGGGCAAATTCACCATATTTTTGGCTGAATGTAGCAAGAGGTAGGTTAGTATGCAGTTGCGATGAATACTTAATTGATCCCTTCATCTCGTGCTTGAAAAATGCGTAGGTACAAAGCAGAACCAATGACAGCTCAGTACAGTAGAATATAAGTAACTGGAGGCACAGTAATACTGTTCAACATTTGTAAAAAAAAATCAAAATCCCCATGTTGTTTATTACCAGGAAATGGAAACTGTGCGGGTGAAACTTGTTTGAAAGTATGATAGTGAAAACCAGCAAAGGGAATGTACGAAATCAAAGATAAGTGAGACTTCATAACATATAGAAGACTCGTGGTTTCATCTGCTTATACAGTTTATACTTTCTTTCATTTGAAAATTGCTATATTTCCAATGCACAGAGTAGTACTTAAAGAACAGTAATAATAAAATCCATACTGCTGAATGTAAAGAAAAAGAAAATGGCCATGGGCATAGTGCTGATCTGCCAGAAATGTTCTAGGTTTCCTGCTTCTAAGTGCATTCATAGGCTGCACAGTTATAGCTGTGAGGCTGTGGTTCTGGATCCTGTAGGGACTTTAGCAAAAGCTGATATTTTAATCCGACAAAGAAAACATAAAAATGGTTCAAGTGAGCAGCAGACTGACAAAAGCTGCAGTTCCAGGGAGTACAGGTCACAAAAGGGGTCCATTCTACTGTCCTGGCATGTCAAGCCCAAAGACAGACTCCATGAATTAACCCAACTTGTCAAGTAGGACCCTACTGCCAAATGCAATGGAGAAATGCTAAGCCAACATTAACATTGGTTTCCATTCATGCCCTATCTTTCGCAGATCATTTCATTGACCCTCCTTCAGGTACATCCTGATAACATGATCTCTAGGCAAGCCAGCTCTTCCTTTCATGGGTTTAATAGAAATACCCATTCTGATATACCCAGTGTTTCTTTTCACCTACCATGGCAAAATACGAAGCGAAATGTGCTAGTCACTTCTATTGATCTTCCATATGAGGAGTGTCGAAAATTCCAGCATGAGGTAGTAAGCTAGTCTCAGTAAACATGCTCATGTTTGCTAACTGTAGTGACTGCGCTGAGTCATTTTTTTCTTGAGAAAACTAAAATGTTATAAATGGTGCATTTTAATGTTGAGTACAGTTAAATGCATAAGTAAATGGTATTTCATAATAGATTAAATCTGAGAACGCTGGGATATACCAGAATGCCAACCAAGTGAATGCTCAGACTGCTTTTGGATCCAATGGGCTAAATATATCCAAAGGCATCTGAAACTCCAGTTGCAAAAGAAGTCTTAAGGCCTGATTCCCTTGATTTACTCCACTATAAATCAGCTCACATCAATGGATTTACTGCCAGTCTGTACCAGCGTGAATGAAAGAAGAACCAAGCCCTTAATCTTTGTATTCTTGGCATCAGCCTCCTCCTCAATTTGGCAGATGCGCTCCCTTTTCTGGGGCAGTCTCATGTGGCCAGTTGTAAACAAGAAAAGTGCAAAGTCCACGCAGGTGACTATTCAAGTGCATCCCTTTGACACCCAAGGAGAAGATAGCAGGCTGAAGGTCTGGCTGCAGAAGGTCAGAGAGAAATTATGCAAGAACCACATATTTAAACAAGGAGATTAGGCTAGATTCCTCTGCAAAATTGTAAGCAGCTTCAATTACCTTTGGAAACATAAATTCTTAGTGAATTGGGCCCTTATTTTCCCCTCTAGCCATAGTCCTTTCTCCCTCTGTAGCATTGATTTAGCCTTTCCCTCTAATTGTCTAATTAGGTTGCTATAGCTGTTAATAGGATAGTGTGCAGACATCTTAACCTCTGAGATCCTAATGACTTGTGCATATTAGAGCAACTATCAAATACGTATTGAATCCCTGTCTTTGTTTTAAACCTGAAAAAGCTCCTTGTATTTTACAAGTGCACTTCAGAACGAGCTGTAGTTACAGAAGTGCAGCCCTTCTGAATCATTACCCATGCCTGTAGACACTGAGTGCTTTTACTCTCCTTCTGTTACTTGATTACAGCACTCCAAATGAAAAGTTTTTGCAAATAATGGAAGAACCTAAAACAGATTTTTCAACAGTGTCTCTATTTTGGTTTTTACGTGTTTTCTTTAAACAAAGAAGCTTGAAAAGCAGTGTGTCTGCAGTGGTTTTTTTCAGATGGACTTTTAAAACAAAGGCAGTATTGTCTTTTTAGATGTTTAGGTATTAACCGACATTAACATCGAGGTACTGGCCACATCTCAGATATGCCAAAGCCTCTTTAAATTGCAGTGAAGCCTATTTACACAGTCAGAGTGGTAAAAATGGTGTAATGGGAAAAAAAAGGCCCACTACATGTTGCAAACTATCCAGCACATTGTAAAGGTTTAATAATGGCTGTGTGTGAGAGGGCCAGGACTGGGTTGCCTGCCACTTCAGTCTTTTCTCTGTTTATGAGAGAAACTTAACTTGCTCATACATTTGTGGTGCCACTTTGCTCGGAGGTGAAATTCACCCAGCGGGACGGGCTGCTCAGGCACTTGCAGGACACAGCGGCTGCTCTGCTTGCAGGAGCAGCCACTGGCCAGCAGTAAGTGTTGGCAGAACACAGCCTAACACGAGTGGGACAGGCTGCTGAGGTCTAATCTGCTCCTGCCCTGCTTCCTCAAAACCAAATGGAAGAAAGTTTATCTCAATTACATGTGGAAGGTTGTTTCTCAGTGTGTACTAGACTAACGTATTAGCAACAGAGCGAATAGACTGATTTCTTGCATTTGTGTGAAACCCTTCTCTACCTAACGACCATCTGGTACACATTAATATCTTTACAAAGCCTTAGCTTTCCATTACGAAGAAGTTCTCTATGTATTTGCAGCATATGGTTCAGGAAATCTTTTTTTCAGAAAATGTGTCCCTTAGGCATATATTTCCTCTAGATTACTGTATTAAGAAATGGGTTTTTTTAACCATACTTAATGGCTTTTCCTTAGATTTCCCCCTTTAAGCACACCTAAAGTGCAAGTGTCTGGACAGAGATGTGGGCATATAAATGCATATCAAACACAGGAATAAAATATGATTGCTAGTTGGCAAGATTTTCTTCTCTTTCACCTCCTTATCAAGCTATGAGTAATTGCTTTCTTATGCTGAGTGCAGCACTATTTGTAAGCTGACCAAATATTGTACACATTATTGTGGCTGCTGAATGGGGTATTAACTTGGAGACTGGAACCCCATGAATGCTGGCACTGTGGTTTAGTCTTTAGGGAAGAGAAGACATGGAAATCTTATAATTTCCATTTTCTGGCCTGTTCTCTGTCCCATTACCTCTCTTATTTTTGGGGGATGAACACATAAGTTGTCCAACCTAAAATGGTATAGGGGTGAAAGCTTTCACACTCCAGCGTATTCTTGTTTCAGGAGGGCACGTGTTTTCAGTCGCTGGACCTCTACCTGTCCTTCTGGAAATAGGCAGCCCTGCAGCAGGACTGCTGTGGAGCAGGCAGCACATTTGGACCGGAGTCTATCATCCATCTCACTGTGTGTTACCAATGCTCCCAGCCATGCTGTGGCTTATGGAAACTTTTTAAAAGTGGATAATGTTTGGCTTCTCTTTTCTATTTGAGCAATGTTGAAAGCTCTGTCTTCAACAAAATACAGCCTCTAATTCGCCGTGTTAAAGAAAGATGGCTGGGGAAAACCATACTTCCTATCGTGAGGTAAAAACAACACAATGCCCTTGTCCATGTAAGTCCTGACTCCTGAGGTCCAGAGCTAAATTGTGTTAATGATTAGCTGTGACAGCTGAAGGTTGGCTCTGTGGTGGGAACGCTGTGAATCTGACCAATTTTCCCTGCTAGGCGTACCAGTCACAAGAATTAGTTGTATCCATGCCCTATGCAAAACACAGTCCAAAGTGCTGCCGTATATAATCCCGCAGTAAATCAAAAGGGCTCCTCGAAAATATACGCAGTGCACAGACATTTTCTTCCTCTGTAAGATGATTAATATTCAGCAGGGCTTCTTTAAATCATAGCAGCATCTTAATAGAAGCTGCAGCTTTTTTGCTGACTTCATCAGTAGTTCAACCCCATGAAACTGGTGAAAAGGCTGGGTAAAATGAAACATAGGAGTATATCGAAAATCTTGGGAGCATTGGTGGCCAACATTTACATTTTCGCTAGAGCAAAATTGGGGACCTAGGTTCATCAAGCTCTCATGAGCTGGGGCTCGATGGCTTTAGAAGCCATCTAAAGCAGCCTTTTTGAGATACAGCTTCCGAAAGCTCTGTGCTTGCCCTGGAACTGTTTAAAATAACGTCTAGAAGCACAGTCTTTACCTGCCCAGCTCTGTGCCTTTGTTGTGAGTCTCTAAATTTGGGCTCCGTGTGTTGCTCTATCTCTGCCCCAGCGAGTCTCAAATTATTTTTCTGAGCAGTGAAACAACATGAAGGGGAGGAGCGGGCAGAGGGTCCCTGCTCGGGCAGTCTGTAGCCGGGTGATTGGACTCCTCTCCATGGGAGACTCACGTCTAAGGCAGGGAAATTAATTTGCAGGGCGGTTAAAAAGGAGGCAGGAGAAAGGAGGGCTGCTGTCAGTCTGTCTGGCGGTATCTGAAGAGGAAACGTTTATCTGCCATTCTGTCTGTGAATAATCCGATCCTATTTGTTTGTGTTTGAGCATGTTTCAAAAACCTTTATTTTGATGAGCTCTTTCAGGAGAGCAGGTAAAAGCAAATATAGTTGCTCCACGTCAAACTAACCAGGACCATTGCTGCTTGAGTCAGGCTGAAAATAACTCATTTGGTGTATGTGCCAAAAGGGAACTTGAGGGACGTGTATTTTTGGGGTCGAAATGTTGTGGTGTGCATGGAGTTTCAGTGCCCCCTCCCCAGCAGCAACAGAACAGCCCGAGCCACTGGGAAGTCCAGGTTGGAGCCGTTTTTCAGAGCCTGTAGATTCCAAGCACTCCGAGCATTTTGGGTGCTGAGGTACTTCTCAGGATCTAGCTGAAAAGGACGTATGAAGCTACAAACAATTCTCTGCCCCAGCCAAAACCCCAGTTAAAGTCGTGAGGTGTTTCCAGCGGAGCATGTCCTGTGAACGTGCTGTTTGTTGGGGTGTAGTTGATGGGTGAGGAGCTCGTCAGCCTTATCCAGGACAGCAGTAACAACGTCTAGAGTAGCCGTAACGCAAAAAAGGCACATGAGACCTTTCTCCTAAGAGTCATGGGTCCTTGGGCAGATCTGTGTAGTACGGCGATGTCTTCACAGTTGCTCTGAGCAGAAAGGATGGTCGGCTTCATGCTTATCTCAGAGCTGTTTTGGACCACCAGCTCAGGCAGGACTGGTGGCGAGGCCGTGAGCAGCGGACAGGGCCTGCACGCTTCCCATCCGCAGGGCGATGCCGCGGTGCAGCGCGCCGGCGCCGGGCAGCCCGTCATTCCCCGGGGGCACGGGGCAGAGAGCCGTGAGAGCCGGCTCGTACCTCTGCTGGCATTCCTCTTCAGTTTCGGCCGAATTCGAAGTTGTGCCACTTAAAATTGTTTTTAAAATCGGTTTTAAAATTAAGTTTAAATACTAAGCCAGTAGCAGACAGCATGGGCTGACACTTCAGTGTCCGTCGGGCACGTGTACTGAATCCAGCCGACAGATGCGTGACTCGGATGAAGTGTGCTCACCCTCTTCCTCACGCATTTCGCTGTGTTGAGCGAAAGCACGCGGCCGTGAGCCCAGTGGCAGCCCGAGGCGTGCGGGCACCTCTTCAACCCTCCGCCTGGCTGGACTGGAGGGCTCAAATCCCCTGTTGCCCCGGGGCCATGCTTTGAAGGACTTTTGGAACATTGCTCAGCCTAAGACAAGACGTTCACCTGTCAGAGGAGAAAAGCAATGTGTGCGTTCCTGAGCGTGGTGAGGTAGCGTGGTAAGTGACTAATGAGACTTGTCTTCCCTACCTGTATTTATAATGTGAACAGGACACTCCAGTTCCCTAGTCCCAAGCACCACCACTTCCGACTCTCGCGCCCGACAGGGTTATGATGCTAGGGGACGCATGCTGGATTGGAAGGATCTGCTTGGTTCATCTGAAAATACAGACCCATATGTGGCAGTTTCATCCCATAATCATCAAGACAAGAAGGGTAAGGCCTTGGAAATGACGTCCTATGGTGAGGAGGGAGGTGGGGAGGACTAAAGTGTAACTGCTTCCAGCTGGCTCAGTGTAACATGTAATAAAACTCCGGTGCTATAATTAAAAGCTTATTGTAAAGCCTGAAACTAAACAGCCAATCTCTGACTCAGTCTTAGATAACTCACTGCCTGAGGAAACCACACAAAACAAACAGAAGTGTATGCCTTTGCAGTGTGTGTTATGCATGTGTATGGGAAGGAGGGAAGCTGGGGATTTAGCTCTCTTTAAACTTGGTCTCCCGTGTTGTCTGGCAGAGGAAGATCCATGGCTTCCCATTGTTCTTAAGGGTGCACTTTTATATGGCCCCATTGTCTGGATTCCCAGGGCAGCACAACAGATCTTGGCTAATTTCACGTTATTTCTATTTCTCCGTGACAGACAGAGGTACTGAAGGTCTGCTCTAGTTTAACCATTGAAGCAAAACTGACACTAGTCCTCACCACTGGGCCTAAGTCCAGGTCTTCAGTGAGACCAGAGCATCAAATACCTTTCAGAGTGGGGGCTGAAGAGGTCATTAGCGTATTTTAAAAGATACGGAGATGACTGCTGGTGGAGAGAGATTCTGTGTTGCGTTTTTGAAGCACTGAAAGGTTAAGATTTCGGTGTCGTTTCACAGTATTCAGCCCTGTGCTGAAGCACGCGTGGGTCTAATACAAGTGACAGCCCTGTCATTTGGCCTCCAGTCCCCCTTTGCTACACGTACAGAGAATTGGGCAGAGAATTACCTAAATTTGCCACTTTAACATGCTTAGAGAAGGAGAAGCTTTTCTCCGCCGTAAGGGTGGTGGTGCCCTCTCATTCCATCTTGGCCCTCCATCATTCTCCTAACTCCTTTTAACCTGTGTCTCAAGGAGGTTAATATGGTTCCTTTGTAAATAGGCAACTTAGGTTCAAAGAGCTCCACTGCCTAGAGAGATCCATGTCCTTGTTATTCTTCTCCAGGGTGTTCTTAGATCGCTTCTTTCAGTCTCTTCTCTGTTGAAGATGTTTCACTCCGTGTGGACTAATTAAGTACTCAGTGGTCCAGGAGAAGGATGGGTATGAGGAAAACTCGCTGAGTGGTTAGGGCACTCACCAGGGGCAAGAACACACATAAGCTTCAGGCCTTTCTGCTATGAATACTTGATATAAAACACTTAAAATATTAATTGAAGTGTGGATTCCAGTCTCTATTGTTCATGCATTTTACATGAAAAACTCATTAGACAAAAGCATCGGCTGTTGCTGGAGAAGCTTATTGGCATGCCAGATCTGCTGCTTCACTTTGTCTGCCCAAACTAGTAGATTACTAAATCGTACTCCATCCCCTCCGTCTGACCAAGTGAATCTTGAATTCGCTGTGTTGGCTGTGGAGACTTTCGGCAGGGGGTAATGAGCACGTTAACGTCGCAGAACAGTCTCCAGCACAAAAGCATCGGCTGTTGCTGGAGAAGCTTATTGGCATGCCAGATCTGCTGCTTCACTTTGTCTGCCCAAACTAGTAGATTACTAAATCGTACTCCATCCCCTCCGTCTGACCAAGTGAATCTTGAATTCGCTGTGTTGGCTGTGGAGACTTTCGGCAGGGGGTAATGAGCACGTTAACGTCGCAGAACAGTCTCCAGCAGAGCGGGACGAACAGCTGGCGGTGATCTGGACCCAGACTGTGAACTCAGCGCCTGTTATTCACAACAGCCCCAGACACGGTGCCTCCCACAGTCCTGGGACATCCTGGATTTCTCACTGAACTCTTCAGGATTGACCTCAAAGAGCCTTCACGGTTCCCTGCCATAAAGGCAATGGGCATCACCTGGCTGGCCCAGCAAAGATGAAGCCTGAAGCGCTTTTTCAGCTGAGAGGCTGGTCAAATTAGGCAGGAGATGCAGTAAAATTTCCTGAGATGCCATGACAAACATTAATCTAGTAGCCTTGGCTTTTAGGCTTGATGGCAGGAAATGGAATATGAAGATTTGAATTCCCTTAAGCAGAGGATGCGAACTTGTCTACCACCTCCAGCAATGAGCTTTTTGTATAAAGAAAAAGAAAAAACTGCCATTTGCTCTTCTTCCTTCAACTGGGTTTTAGAAGTGGCCCGTGTTTGAACATTTTTTTTTTTTTTCAAAGATTGATCCTGTAGACATTCTGGGAGAATAACTGCAAATCTAAAGCAATATAATGAATTTCTAGAACCTGATCAGGCTTACAAGTGAGTTAAGCACAGAGCTCCTCTGCACCCTGCAGACCCATGGGCTGCTGAGCCTCAGCAGAGGAAGAATTTCAGGCAGCTGCAATACTCAAACTCAGAACCGTAACCTAGGGTGCAGGGGACTGAGGGTGCTGAAGACAGATTCCTAATTCCTGCCTAAGCTCAGTTTGAGATACCGACCTCATTTTTTTTAATTCTTCAGCCCTTGCTGTTCAGCTGTAGAAGGACAATTCAGAAAAAGTGATTTCTGCGTATCATGTATGTAGAGGAGGGAAGGTAGGTAAGCCTGCATGCTCTTCTAAAGATGGCATGTGATTTACCTAGCACTTCTCTTTCCTCTCAGGAATAAATCAGTGATGATGCTGACATCCAAAAAATAAGACGTTAATTCTTTTTCTGACCAGTCTGTTAGTAACATCTGGTATTCAAAATGCTTGAGGTGCAAAGACATTTCTTGCAAAATCCAGCGTTCCCTCTCCTGAAAGTAAGTTGAGTGGTAACTTTCTGTCCTCCATCCTGAGAGGAGGGGATGTCAGTAAGCATATTTGATGAGGAAGGAAGGAAGAAATCCTTGAACCCAGCTCTTCTGCTGGTGTCAGACAGGGGAGCAGTGTCAGAAACCACCAACAGTGGAAGATCTGTCCCTTTATGTACCCAGAGGAATGTGGAGACGTGTGTGCATTTTAATGGCATTATTTGTTATGTGTGGGTCCCTACTTCACAAGTCTTTTGTGAAGCAATGCTTAATAGATGGAAAGCTCGCTCTTAAAAGCATCTCGTATGCCAATAGCAGCTTCCAGAAGAGCATGCAGTGCAAATATTAATAAATGTGTAGCTGTTGGATTCTAATCATTTTCGCTTCAATTCACTGACTGATGAGGTGGCTTACATTCAATAGTTCCCTCCCCAGGGAGTGATGGTTACCAAAAAGCCTTATTAGCACTTGACAGGGTCATTTAAATATCATGCATTCTTTGGTGCCTAATTATGAATATTGACGAAGCTGGAAGCAGTCTACACGCAATCAAAACAATGGCGGCAGAGGTGACCGCATGGTTGTTTACCATTACCATCTACTTGTGTGTTGTTACTCCTTGCCTTGCCCAGTCAGAGCCGGTTGGCTCCAAAATTACTATTGATTTGTTGTTCTAAAAGGGCAAAGGAAAGAGTTCTTACACAAAATTAAATCGGAAAATGTTACGCTTACTATCCTTTTATCAAGATTTTGTTTTCACTTTTGCTGTAATTTCTTTTACTTCACACATCCACAGAGAAAAAATATTCTCTCTTTTTTTTTTAACATTTTCTCTTTGTTTTGCAAGGTGCTTTGTGGTGTTCTTCATTGGTTGTGTCTAATCCTTTGGACAGTGTTTTCTTTCTTTTCATGTGCTCACAAATGACTTCTTACTGATTATACTAATTGTACAGAATCCACTTGCTGCTTTCTTTTCTGTAACACGGGTGCTTTGATGATGTCACATCCATCCATATGCTTCACTTTTAATTCAGTGCAGGCATCTTGGGGAATATCTGTGGGGGCGTGAAGAGGGGGATCTTTAAAAGGGTTGACTCATGGGAATGTGACATTTGTGTGCCACAGCTTTAGTAGCTAAATATACTCTGGGATTGTTGTTTCTGAGCTACATCACGTTTCTTGCCAAGATGAAAATGTGTAGTGCAACCCATAGAGTGGGAACTATGCGTTGCCATCTCACTGGCATTTTCATTTTGGCCATTAAGGAATCTGCCCTTCCTACTGCAGAACAAAACCAAACCAAAACAAAAAACAAAAACAAAAAAAAACCCCACCAAAAAAAATCAGCTCTGATTGGGCAAATTGCACCCCTCTTTCTTCTTCTCCTCCATCTCCTCCCCAGAAAAAAAAAAAAAAAAAAGAAAAGAAAAAAGAAAAAGAAAAAAAACATGTTCTGGAGTATGTTTACATTTTTTTTCCTTTCTTGCTGTGTTTTACTGTTAATTTAATTGTCTGTTTCTCACCTCCGTCAAAACAGTTTCCCTAACCTCACCGTCTAACCTCCTCCCCTGCTGCCATTGTACTTGGTCTCCCTCCCTCCGCAGTCGTGAGGCTCCTCCTGCGGAGCGCTCCAAGGCTTTACCCTCTACACCCCAGTAGTGCCGCAGCGCTGTGCCTCTCTGTAGTCGTCCTACTAACGAAGCGGGGAGTAGACACGTACCACTCGTAGGGAGGCCTACGTGAAGAAAACAAAGCGGTTTTCTTCAGGAGTAGCTGGCCTTGCCCCTCGTTACCCTGCTGCCCTTCTCTGCCACCTCCTGTCCTTCTGCCTCCCTTCAGCAATGCCTCACGCTTTTCGAGTCCTGGGTTCGTTAGCGCAAATGCAACCGACTGCACGGTTTTCTCACTCGCTCCGTAAATGCCGGGAGCTTGCCTTTTAATCACAGCGTTGATAAATTGGTTGTGAATTCAGCTTGTGATTTTGTGGTTCTGCTACAGCTTCTCCTCTGCAGCGTTCAGGTGGACGTGGCTGAGCTGGGTACTGAATGACGGAAGTGTAGCGTTCATCAGGCTTAATATTTGTGTTCTTACTTGTCTCAACACTCATTAAGTCAAGATTACGAGGTGGTATCTCCATTCCTTAACAAGCCTTTTGTCGATACCCAAGTAACAATGGTAAAAAGCTGATTAGAAGCACGTTGTGATGGACACAGTTTACAGAGTTAAGAGTTGCTGGTGTATTTGGATCTGAAGAGCGTTCCTGTAGATACAGTATCTGGTAGGACCTAAT